AAACAACCCAGCTTGGCCAATTTGCAAGGAATCGGGAGGGAGATCCGGAAAGGGGGATCTGTTGGGGGGGGGGGGTTTTAAAAAAAGTTCCTCCCTTCCTTCCCTGGCTTCAAATCCTCTCTAGCAATCCGCACTCTCTGGATTTAACCACGAAAGCACCTTGTTTGCAAACGATTGTTATTATGATTAGTTGCAAGGATCAATTTTTAAATCGCCTGTAGTGTACATGATGAGCATGCGATTTACTTTTCACTTGCAATGAGCATTGCTTCTTTAATCAAAGCTACCCGTAGGGCAAGGAAAAGTATCGTTATTATATTTCCTCTTTATCCTCCGTGTCAGAGAAGAAAAGAAAAACAAAAATAATAGTAATAAAAAAGACAAAAATGTTGTGGTACCTCAAGTACCACCATCGCCACTTTTTCAGGCATATGAGGTGGAATGTCCCAGTTATTGTTGCTGTTGTTGTTACAAATATCAATTAAAAAGTGCCAGGTAATATAATTCAGAATTAAAAACAGCACTAGGATCTACAATATTAAAAGACTTTTGCAGAACAGGCTCTAAAGCTTAAATTGAAAGGCCAGGCAGGCTGGGAAATTTATTTGAATACAGTTTAATTCTTTTTTCCCCCTGCCCCTTTCTTTGGCTTAAAGGAGGAGAGGCGGAAGTTTAAAAAAAAATGTAAACTTTGCAGTTGGGCTGGGAATGCTGTGGATGGAAACAGGAAGGACAATATGGTGCAATGGTTAGAGTTTTGGATTAAAATTTAGCAAGGTGTTCTTGTTACACACTATCAAGTCAGTTGTGAGTTATGAGGAGCAATTTGTGATCTTGAGAACTTCCTATCGTGCCTGGCTCAAGTCCTGCAAACTAATTTATTAGTTGTCTTCTTTTTTTTATATGGAGCTAGTATTCAGTATATTACCGTTTCCCTGAACATAAGACCTAACCTGAAAATAAGCCCTAATACATTTTTGGAGCAAAAATTAATATAAGACCCTTATATTAATTTTGTCTTATTTGGGGGGAAACACGGGTATTTAAGATTTATTTTATTTTATGTTACATCTGTTTCATTTTGGATGTAAACCACCCGGAGTTCTGTTTATCACTAATCAGTGTGCTAGACAAGTTAAATTAATGAATGAATGAAGGCTGTTGATTGTTTATTCAGTCACTCCGTCTCACATGAGGTCTTCCTCTTTTCCTACTTGTCTTATTTGGGGGGAAACACGGGTATTTAAGATTTATTTTATTTTATGTTACATCTGTTTCATTTTGGATGTAAACCACCCGGAGTTCTGTTTATCACTAATCAGTGTGCTAGACAAGTTAAATTAATGAATGAAT